AGAAAATAATAAAAAAAAACGAAATCCACAAAAAACAACAACAAAAATCAATTCAACTTCATCGTCATTAACAACAGAAACTAATTCGGCATTATCGCAATTAACAATAGAAACTAATTCAACGTCATCATCATTAACAGATACAATTAATTCAACATTACCATCATTAACAACAGAAATTAATTCAACGTCACCACCATTAAAAACAACAAGTAGTTCAAGATCACCACCATTAACAACAAAAGATGAACATATTCAATTTATATTAAATTTAATGAAGAAATGGACAGAAAATAGCAAAGAAAATTTACATCTTGATCAATTAGCATTAAAACCGGATGTTGATTATGGTTCCGCTAGATTCCATTCGATTCCATTGGATTCCTTTGGATTCCATTGGATTCCATTGGATTCCATTGGATTCCTTTGGATTCCATTGGATTCCATTGGATTCCGTGGGATTCCAGGATTCCAGGATTCCGTGCTTTCCCCCTTGGTCTACTGTCCACTTTTCATGTAAAGTTATGAACGATCTGGACCCTAAGTAATTTTTAAAGAAGAAATACGTGGCAACGAAAGAATCCCATGACTTGAAGAAAGTGAAAACCTGCACAAACTACTTAAAGATTCTACTTGTTGAGATTTCTTGATCAAGATCTTGATACAGAGTTTTCAAGAACATCAGGGTCAGACACATCAACAAATCAAGATTTATTATAGATTCGAGTCTGATGTATCTTCAAAATTCTGTATCAAGATCTTGAAAAGATTTAGGAACTTTTCTGAACTCATTAATGTAATTACTGATTGGGATTTTAACTTTTTTAAGCCCACAAAAGACTTGAATTATAGGTTTTCGACCATGCTGAATCTCGTGGCAATGTTTTAAAAACGATCGGAATTATTTTAAACCCGATTCCAGAGGTGCCACTCAAGTATTACGCATTCCCTCGCCAGACATGCACTTCAAAACACAAAAAAATGATTTTTTGTTGCAGATATATATAGATCGTTGATGCGAGAGTGAAACAAAGGGTGGAAAGGAAAAAATCATTTTTTTGTGTTTTGAAGTGCGTGTCTGGCGAGGGAATGCGTAATACTTGAGTGGCACCTCTGGAATCGGGTTTAAAATGATTCCGATCGTTTTTAAAACATTGCCACGAGATTCAGCATGGTCGAAAACCTATAATTCAAGTCTTTTGTGGGCTTAAAAAAGTTAAAAAAACTCAATCTTGGGAGTCTCAGGAAAGTGCGCATCCTGTCCGGACCATTAGAGATGAAACTCTCGTTCATGGGGGTATTTGTAGACTAATGTATGGTTGTTCGAATCCCCAGTCCGCATTAAAAAACATGTTTTTTTTCGTACCGTATGGAGGTACTCTTTGAAAGATTGATGTGGTACACTACCTGCAACTGGTGGGCTGCTCGGAAAACCCCCTTTTTCTAATTTCTCCAAGTGTCAGCTACACAGTGGTGAAAACCAGGAAGTCAAAGAAAATCTAGCCTACCTTATTATGATCTATGAGTCTGCTATTTTATCCGGCAAGTCGAATCCTAAAAGGTGGTCTTCCTGTGCGATGACGCTCGTGCCTACTATTTTCGCTTGTGAACACACTTTCGTATCCATACAGGTACTTTACCACAAGAATCTAATTCAAAGGAGCAGTGTCCAGAACCACAAGTCATCTAATTCTTTTCATTCTAGTCTTTTCTTGGTAACGTTTCTATTAATACTAGTTTTTATAGTACTGTGGTCGTTTGATGAGGGTAACGCCCCATCTTCTATTATGGAGTGTTACAAGGTCATATAGCTCAACATATATGAAAATCTCTAGACACCGACTTTTACCCTAAATTTTACCTTGAAGAACATTTTCTTTATAAAACCATTTCTTCTTTTTCATTTTGTTTAAGTTTTTGGATTATCTCTCTTCAATACTATTCAGCTATACTGCTTTTATACTATCAGAATATAACGTAATCAACTTCAGCTCAATCTATACTTCTTCCTCTTTTTCTCTACTGTTGATTAGTATCAACTCTTAAGATTTATTTCTGGAACCTATAAATAACATCAGACTTTAAAATTAAAATCTGAGTGACAGACGAATATTCTTCAATACCATACCTGTCATACGCAACGAAGAATGATCCATCTTAGTTTGATTTGGAGAAAATTTATTTTATTATTAGTCTCTACAGGCAAACTTTTTCGTCTACGACAGATATACAAACGATTTGAGAAGCTAAAACGGATTATTATTACAATAAATTGAATAGCATAATACAAAGTATTGAACGGAGGTGGTACCGCTGATTTTCTAGAATATTCAGTAATCAACAAAAATCGATGATAGGCCCATTTCACACGCGCATCGTTCGACACATCTTGAACTGATGCACTATAATCAGCAGAAGAATATGCCAGAAATAAGAGGATAAGAGTTTAGTCTTACTTGAATAAAGCGACTAATACATTTAACAAAAGGACATTAGCAACACATACAAAAAATATTATAACGATAAATGCGGTTATACCGCAGGCGTCATTTATAGCAACAAATGAGAGTAATGCGCAAATATAAGAAAGAAGAGAGAAATAGAGCTTTAAGAGACAACAAGAATTTGCCTCGTTTCTTCTCGTTTATCAGATATTTGGGCGCGCAACACTTGGGCGCCGACATTTGGGCACATGTAGGACACAAGCATTCTGTAAGAGTGCATTTGGTAAAGTATGACGCATAACGACAAAATTTTCTCTAAATAAACTTGGTAAGGTGTGAGAGCCTTATCTATATTCTTCATATTCAACTGTAATCAGTGTTGCTTTAATTTTCACGATATCCACCCTCATCCACACCTGCACCGGTGCCTTTGAACTTCAACTGTAGTTGTGCCTAAATGTCGTGTAACACATTGTGCGTCCAAATGTCGTTACGCCTAAATGTCAGCGCCCAAGTGTCGGTACACCTTTCTTCTCGGTAAAGGTTGTTTACTCTGGAGTAATAATTCACTCTTCTGCTTCGCAAAATCAATCTAATTCTCTTAATAAAGTAACTCATCAAAAACGATACCGAGTGCAAGTATTTTGTCTTCATATTCATACAGATAATTAAAAGTACTAAATCATAAAATGTTTTGCGAACTTTCGAAGCTTCTCGCTTCATCTTCAGACAAATTTATTCATAAAGTGAGAAAAAAACATATATATATAAATATGAAACCGAAATGCCTTGCGGCCACTCCTTATGGTGTATTAGGAAATGTTATTGTTTGAAAATAAACTCAGTTGAACTTGTTCATGGTTGCTTACCATTTATTGTATCATCAGTATCAAACTAGAAAGTAAAACTATATTTCATGCTCAATACAGGTGCTGAAATAAAATGACCCAACCACATAAGTCCAGATTCCGGAACTGCCTCTTTCTACCGCCGACTCCGGTGCATTTCAGGGCCGATCCGGTACAGCATAAACCGAATTCTATGCAGACGGAAATTTTCCGGCCATAAGCAGAAAAAAAAAATTACCATATTTTTGCCGTTTCTTTTTAAAACAATCATTTTCCAGCGAGTATTCAGGGACAGTTTATCACAATAGAGGAACTCATCCGAAGTTCACACTGGAATAAGACATTGGGAAAAAACACAAAGTTTATCTAATTTTTTTGTTACTTATGCAGATGTTACACTCAAAACTAAAACCCAATCGACTTTATAGTCGAACTTAAAATCACAGGTATACAATAACACACTCTGTAAGTTTTCAGTAAAAATTTCATAAATCCTTACCGATTATCAGATGCAGCCTCACGTCCTTAATGAGCAAAACCTGTGCAAAAAAAAATTCCGCCATACCCCTTCCCTCACCATCACCCTTAAAAATTCTTAAATCTGCTACTTCCCTAAGCTCAGGTATTATTTTTATTGAAAATAAACGATATCGCAAAACAAAACAGCGAACGAAAAAACATAGTACGTGATTGCCGTATTTGGAAAAGTAAGTAATTTCTTTTAATACCCTGTGCACGGAAACGGCCACCGGAATCTGACAAATTGATGGCTTTTGGCCGCTATGCCGAATGAAAAGGTCAGGAAATTATACGTGCCGGCAGAACTGATTCGATTGTGGTAAAAAAGCTTGTCAGCGCAAACCAGTAGTTTAAAGTAGATGCTTCTCTTTTAAATAAGTAGTAGCTCTCTCAGTATGTGCCTCGAAAAACTTGTAAACCAAGACCTTTCCACTAGCACTTTAAGAATTTCTCTTTAGGCGTTCCTTAATTAGGAGAAGGAGATGAGTATACTCCAGGGAATGCTACACGTGGAGGCTTTTCGAGAACGATAGGTCAGTAAAACCACTCTGCGTTTATTTAAGATAAGTAAAGCCGCGGAGCCTTGAGTTAAAACGACTGAAAATGCATGTAACTGCCTGAAAATGTATGGATATGAATTAAAATCGCAAAAAACAGTTCCCTTCGACAAGCCACTCTTTCGTAGTGGGTGAGTGTAACATACCTCACGTATTTGAAGTGTAAGCCGCAACGAAATGAATAAAAATTACTTTTTACACATATTTGTCGACGCTAATTTCACACATAAGACTCAGAAACAGAGAAATACATAAAAAAAAGAAAACGTTAGCTGGTTAAAATTTCAATATTATATGTGCGTTGGCTTGGTTTCCAAACTTTTATTAGGAAATTGCTGGAAGCTTTCTGAGTATTATATGCGAACGTAGAATCGATAAATATCTGTAAAAAATGATCTTTATTCATTCCCACTTGTGCCCCACTTGTGCAATAGTCGAGCTGTTGAAGATTTAGGTTTCGAAATGAAAAATGTCAGTCTGACAGATTTGTCGAAACGCATTGAATGTGGCGTCCAAGACCGCAAGCTTCGATATCACCGTGTTGTTGAATCAACGCACATCGCGTTTCGACAGGAGTTTTCGAATTTAAATCCTACAAATCAAGACCTACAACCTCTGATGTGTCACGGCGCTTGCCCGAAACTTTCGTAAAACGTGGGAGGTATCACATTGATGCACACATTTCTAGACGATAAATCTTCTGATTACTTACCACAATTATTATTTATGACAAATCTTTGTATCCGGTTATTTGATAAATCTGCAACATAAAGATTACCTAACGAAACAAGCTTTATTCCTAAAGGATTATTCATTTGATTTATTTGATTTCCTAGGACACCGGTACCAGCTACAACGGTGCCACTCCATGCACCAGGAGTCCATCTTGTGATACGTGCATTTTGAGCGTCGGATACGTAAATATTTCCACACATGTCGACTGCAACTGATCGTGGAGTAGTTAATTGACTCAAAGCAGCACCAGGTCCGTTCCCACCAGCTACTGTTGTACCCGTATATGAGCCTGGTGACCATAAAACAATACGATAATTAGCAGTGTCAGCTATGTAGATGTTGCCATGGCTATCTACATAAATACCATACGGATAATTCAGTTGATTAGCACCATTTCCTTGTCCATTGCCTAAAGTACGAACTACTATGATTGTTTTTAATTTGATTTAAAATGAAACTTACCACCAGCCACAACTATTCCATTCGTTGCACGAGGCAGCCATTTCATAACACGATGATTATCAGTATCTGATACATACACATTACCAAATTGATCAACAAAAACGCCAAACAAGTGGGGACCAAGCTGATTGGGAGCATTACCATTGCCATTTCCTCCAGCCACTGTTATGACTGTTCCACTCAACAAGACTCTGCCTACTCGATAACGACTCTGCTCGGCATAGTACAAATTATCATCATTGTCTAGACACAAAGCAGCTGGCGTTGTTTGATCACAGCATGGGGAGGTCCAGACGGTAGTCGCGTTAGCCGCTCCAACTAGCCATTTCTGTATTCGCAAATAATCTGCCACGTAAACAGTGAAATGACTGTCGATCGCTACATCATTAGGCTGAGAAAGGATGTCGCTTGTACCGTTTGGATTACCCGCCACAGTTAAAGCATTTGGACTCCAAGTGGCATTTGAAAAACACTGACACAACGGTGTTTGAGCTGAAGATTATTAGAACTTTTATGTCAACTCTTTACTTTGCGTTAAATAAGGAACGATATATAGTATTCAGGGTATAATTGGTGCACGGTATAAAAGCATGATAATATAGTATTTTAGGATATTAGCTATTGTAGGATTAGCTTGATATTCTAATAATTGCAGGAAACATTCCCACACAAATGCGTGTCGTAAATGTTATTGCGTCTGTCAGAGAGAACTCAGTAAGCTCTGTCTAATTGGACTATTGACGTTTTAAACTCTCTAGTGCATCTCAACAATTGAGGTTCTGAAGTATCAACGGTATTTTTATCAGTGAAGATCCGCTGAACTAAGCTTTTAAATTAATGATATCTTCAGTTTTCCAGGAAAAGAGTGCTTTGGGTGATGATCTCTTGTCTACGAAAAATGTTTGAGAAATTTGACTACTTAAGAAATCATGAAGTCACATTCAAGACAATGAAAATGCGTCGAAACTGTTGTTAGACACAGAATTATTTTGGTATCTACCATCCGTATCTACCATTGATTTCGCTGTGATCAAGAACACTCAATGAATAGTGACAATTTTTCGGCATGAATGGAGACAGCAGCTGCTACACTTAGAGCTGAACATAGTAAGAGTAAGCGGCCCGTAGCCTAGATTTTAAATTTTACATTGAAGGTGATAAAACTGAGATCTGTATGATCATCGATAATGCCACTTGGCATTCAAAATTAACGTCAGATAGCGAATGTCCGAAACGAGCTTGGAGAAAGCAGCTAATCATTGAGTGGCTGGGGCAGCACAAAGTGAAGTACAAAACATTTCACAAGAGACACAAAGAGTGAGCTTTTGGAAATAGCATTCAGCAATTTACCTCCTAAAAAGTATCTCGTGGATCTAGCTGCTCAAAAGTCTCGTGTAAAAATCCTGCGTATGCCGGTTAAACACTGTGTGCTTAGCCCTATTGAATTGTGTTGGGCAGGTTTGAAAAATTATGTTCGAAAATATAATGTACATTTTAGTTTGGTGGAGGTGGAGCAATTAAGTAAAGAGTTTCTTGCTGCATCGAAAACCTATATAAAAATATTTTTTTCGTTATTCTAAGTGAAAAAAGCGGGGACACTTCACCTCTTCGTATATACGAAAGAACGGAAAAAAAATGATTTTTTTTTCTTTTTCTACCGCCCCTCTCCTTGAAAGATAGGCATGGCTTACCACCTGCAGGTGGTAGACCTGACTCGATTTTCTTTTCCAAACATGTCATCAAGTATTGGCTCTCGAATGTCGAAAACCGTAACTCTCTAGCTACTTTCGTTCGAAAGTTATTCGAAAAATAGCCAGCACACTGCTTTTTGGTACGGATAGTAGTCACGACATCTGTAGCAGGCGAAATGCAGAGAGAAATTTATTCCAAAACGTGTCCGATCTGCATTGTTTCTTTGACCACTACAGTAACTATCATACTCTTGAACAGACGATTTCTAATCTGTTGCTTGTTTACTTAATTTTGTTAAATTCGTTCAAATCAAATAGATGAATTAACCAAAGAACTCGGGCGGATATCATCAGATTTCCATCCTTTCAAAACCATTATAAAAAGAAAGCACCTTGTTAGTGAATAATTACTTTGATGTTGGTATGTTGAGATCTTTTCCCTTCTGATAATAAAAACTATATGAAATGTTCGATCTTATAGTGCTCTCATACAAAAAAGGTCATAATACTGTTCAATACACAATGTTTAAATCAATATATCTAACCAAGATTTGACTGCATTTAGCTAGCATTGGTATTTTCTAATCTTATTTCAACTATGTTCTTTGGAAAAATATGTTTATTAATCGAAGATAATATATTTTTTTAATACAACTTGATAGTGGAAAATAAGTAATTACAGAAATATGAATTTTTCTATCATATCTAGCATCTCTCAAATTAATACGATATAAACACTAAAACTCTTTTCTGAGTTGAAATGAGATTATGAAATACCAAGGCTAGCTAAATGCAGCCAAATCTTGGTT